ATAGAACAAAACCAAACTTAATAAAAATGGTGAAAATGATAGAAGAGTTCAAGACAAGACAATGAGAAATTAACAGTGCTCACTACCTTCCCCTCCTAAGTGTTTACTCCCCTATTACTTTCATAATATTTATTTGTGCTTTTTGGATCCCACTAACTCCTTCTGTTTTTTATTTTTAGGGGTCACCCATATGAGTTCAAACCATTTTGCACATAAACATGATCTCCAGTTGCATCCATTTACTTATAAGAACCTCAAGATTATCCTACTTTATAGCTGGATAGCTTTTCTTTGAAAGTACCATGTCTTTCTTATCCATCCTGTGGTTGATGGGCAAGTTACCCCTGTGTCTTTCTGGTCTCCTGTCACATGCATCAATTGTTTTCTCTTCTTTGATTTTCAGTCTTTGAATTTCCTTTCAAGTTAAATGTGTTTCTTGTTGGATCTTGTTTCTTGATCCACTCTCCCTGTTTCTTGCTGTTGGTAAATTGAGGACATCCACATTAATGGTTAAACTATCTTGAATTGAGTTGATTCATCTTTGTAATGCTATTCTCCCGCTGTTGGCTCTCTCTTTTTCCCTTATTCAGTTGCCTGTCCTATTTGGTGATCCTCCTCTGATGCTGTTTCTGAAACTGTTGTCATCTTTATCTCTCTAGAGTACCCTTTAGGACACTCTGTGGGGTTGGTTTGGTGGTCATGAATTTACTCAGTTCTTTGTCATGGAAGCATCTTATTTTCCATCAATTTTCAAAGATAGTTTTGCAGGGTACATCAAACTGGGTTGGAAGTTATTTTCTTTCAGGACTTGAAACATTTCACTCTAAACTCTTTTTGACTTGCTGGTTTATGTTGACAAGTCTGCTGTGATTCCAATTGGTTTTCCTTTATAGGTGATCTGTTTCTTTCCTCTAAAACCTTTTAATATTCTGCTCTTGGGCTGAATTTCTGGGATCTTGATTATGTCTGGGTGTAGATTTACTTTGGTTATAGCTAGCTGGAGTTCTGTATGCCTGACTTATCTGATACCATATCCTTTCCCCATGTTTGAAAAGTTTTCTGATATTATTCTGTACATAGTCTTTTATTTCATTATGTCGACCCCTACTTCTTTGCTGATACCTGTCATTCATAAATTATTTTTGTTTGCATCATCTTACAGCCATTGAATTGTTATTTCCTGGCTCCTTGTTATTTTCAAGAGATCTTTCCTTTCATGATCACTAACTGAGATCCTGTCCTCAAGCTCTGAAAGTCCATCTTCAGTCTCTTTCAAATGGTTTTGGCAGCTTTCAATTGACTTTTTAATTTCCTAGATATCTCTTTGAATCTGTTTCATGCATTGTAATTCCTTTCTATATAGTTCATTCAAGATTTTCATCATTTAACTATGCTCTTTTTTTTACCTATGTCTTCTCTAGACACGCAAATCAATTCTTTAATTGTGTTTGTGATTTCTTCTTTTACCTGAGACATTGTTTCTGATCTGATTACTTCTCATGAAGCTGTTCCTTTACTTCAGTTGCTATCCTCTTGGAGATTTCAGGTGTATAATTTTCTTCCATAACAGTATTTCCAGACTTGTTTTGTGTGGGCTGGATGTCTGAGATTGCCTTTTGCTCCTTTGCCTTGTCTTTCTCCTGGTTCCTTCCAGCAAGCTGGTTGTGGGGGTCCCGGGCATTTCCCACTTTGGCTGCCCCTCCATGGTGTTGGGGAACGGGAGAGGCACCTGGGTTTCTCTGACCCCTAGTTACAGGGAGGTAGCAGGGCATGGAGCAGGCTTCTCCAGACTCATGCAGCTACCCTGAGGCTTCCTCCAATGACCGGGTGTGCATGGGGGTGGGGCTATTTCTCTCAGCCTGCGTGTGTACACTGGGACTCCTGTGATGGTGGTAGGCACACAGGGATGTGTTTGGCTGATTCTCCTGGTGGACAATGGTTGCCCGAAGGAAGCAAAGGTGTCCGATGGTGGCCTGTGGTGCACAGGGCTTATTTGACTGCATATTCCTGCTCACTCTGGCTGCCTATAGGAAGTCTTCTTGGTATTTCTTTTGTATCCTTTTGGTAGTTATGCTTAGGGTCCTCTGTGGTTTGTTGTCTTATTTTGGGAAATTCTGTGTTTCTGTGTTGTCTTGGATTGGAACTGTAAAATGTTAAGCCACCTGCTGTTATCCTGTGAGAGTGAGAAGAGCTCCTGTATACCTAGCCCATTTACTTTTTTTTTGCTTTGTATATGTATCTTTAGGTTCATGGATTTTGTTTTCAGCTGTATTGTCTACTTTTTTTTAAATGAAAAAAGAAAAAATAGTAAAACCTATGATACAGATTTCCAAAACAGAATATTAGGAGATTACCAAAGGTTAATATGTTGAGTATTGTTGTTCTTAATTTTTGGAAGGGAGGGTCTGGTGTTTGAGACAGGGCATCCACCATTAGCCCAGGCTGGCCACAAACTCAGCAGTCCTCCTGCCTCAGCTTCCTGAGTGCTGTGATTACAGTCATCGTGCCCAACCTTTCCTTGTTTCTTTCTATAGAGAGCTCTTCCCAGTGGAATCAAAGAAGTTTATATTTATAATCGCAAAGGAAAGTTACTGGAATCCTAATGAGTTAATTCCAGTCTACCACTTTCAGTGCAACTCCTGGCAAGAATAGACACTAAGATATAACATAGCTTGAGGCTGGATCCCTGCTAACAGTATGGAGTACAGCTCTCCATCCTGCCGGCTCACACATGTTTTGGGAGTCCTAGGGCGGGGAAACACTGTCACCTAGCTCAAAGACTGCACATCAGCACCTCAGCTAGACTGATTTGCATTGATTGAAGCCAATTGAAGGGATAAGGAAAAGTGCAGGCCAGCTTTGGATATATCAGTATGTGGAGGGAGGGTCTGGTTTATCCAAAATGGAGATAATTGCTCTTTTTTCGGGAAAGTTGGCCAGATGGTCTGCCACACTTTCTTGCCTTTTGCCATTTGCTTTTTCTTTTCTTTTTGATGTAGGTATTTATTTCTGTAAACTTATTTTTTAGAACCGTGTTTGGCATATCTCATAATCTTAAAGCAGAATTGTATATTAAAATTAAAAGAGGTTCATCTTTCATATATAAATGCATAGTAAATCAACTATGTCTTCTGTCCTCGCACCCATCAGACTTGTGAAACTTTTAAAATACCAAGTCGTGGCCAGGAAATAGAACAAGAGAAGTTATCTCTTGGCACTTATGGATATTCATATTGATAAGTAATTATAAAAATAATGTTTCATTCTTTAGCAAAGTACAAGATAATGCACACTTTATGGCCCTGAAATTTCAGGGAATAGAAACATGTACTAAGTGCAGTAACTGAAGAAACTGGATGCAAGAAATGCCTGGTCTAGCTGAACTGAGCCCACTGGACCTCAGTGAGATGGTAATACTCAGTACTCAGAATGGGACATTTGAACACAGGGCTAAGAGGTGGTCATTGGGTTAGGCCCTGATGCAATAGATTAGGATACAGACTCCACAATGAGGAAAACTCTGTAAAGGCAAGCAGAAGATGGTCAGCTTCATGCCACAAAGATACCTCAGAAGAAACTGTCTGTGATGATACTGGTCTCAAACTTCTAATTTTACAACTCTGTGAAAAACTTGCTGTTATTTAAGCCACTGTGGTCTATAGTACTTTATAGTGGTAGCCCTAGTACCCTACTGTACCAGCCCACAGGAAGTGCCAAGGGAGTCCGTCAGTCCAAAGTAAGAACACCTGCAGGACTTACTGGACGCTATTGCAGCTCTGCCTTGGTCTCCACGCCTCCTTATACACGGCCTCCGGTGAGCCTGGAGAGAGAGTGTAGACTCTTCAAAGGCATTTGTGAACTCATGTCTAGCCTTGGGTTTGTGTGTCCCTTTGTAGATTTTCCAGCACATGTAAAAGATTTTCAGTGTCACTATTTCTCCACACATAGCCTTCCCCGGCTTTCCTTCCAGGACTTCTTATACCTGGTGCTTGTGTTATCTCCTGCTCCAGGTAGTAGCAGTTATCAGATTTACCTTTAAATGCTTTTCACAGACTTCCTAGGAATCTCCCTCCATCCCTGTGAAAGTTCTGATGTAGAGCACATCCTTCAGGGAAACAGTGAACAGTGGGAAACAGCCTGTAAATTCCATGATAATAGCTTTAATAAAGACCTTTCAGTAATTCTTTGGGAAGATAGCTCGAAGTGGAACAGCTGGGTCAAATAGAATTTCTGGCTTTGATGTTTTGATTTTTGAAAAATCTCCATACTGATATCTATAGTTGTGCTAGCAACAATACATAAAAGTTTCCCTTTTCCCCTTGTCAGGACTTATTACTATTTGATTTCTTAATGGAAAACATTCTTAGAGAGTGAGATAGAATTTTAGTGTTATTTTGATTTGTATTTCTGTAATGGCCAGTGACACAACATTTTTGCATGTATTTATTGGCAATTTGTACACAGTGACCTGTGCATAGTCATGTTTATATAGTAGCACAACTCATACTTCTAGAAATGGTGTACATGTCTATCAATAGATGAATCAGTAAAGAAAATGATATTTATACACAGTGGACATTTATACACAGTGATATTTATACACACTACTCAGCCACAGAGAGGGTCAACTTGAGTCATGGTAGGAAAGTGGATGCACTTTGAGATCATAATATTGAGTGAAATATATCAGACATTTAAGTTCGACTATCACATGATTTATCTTAAATGAGAAACTCAAAATATAAATGAGGTATAGGGCAAAATAAAGGATAGTAGGAAAGAGGGAGATGGATCTTTTGCAAAAAGGAAGGGGAACCAAGACATAGAGAGATGGGGGAGGGAAGGAGAGAGTGTAAGAAAAAGAATTACGATGTGTTTTGTGTGTATACCAGTCCCCATAATGCGTGCAATCATTGCACACTAAAAACTAAACAAAATGAAAGACTTCAGAATAAACAAATTATGAGAAATTTCAAATTTTACATTCTGTTTTTTTTTAGGTAAAACCACAAGTTCAAGACCTATTTCCTCTTTATCTAGAAATGCATATTGTGGTGGACAAAGCTTTGGTATGTGTTCTCCTTTCTCACTGGGTTTAAACTAGCTGTAAATGGACAATTATGCCTAGCAAGAGGGCAATGGTAAAAATCCGTTTTTCTTGCTGGCTTATTAGAGCATATAGTACAAACAGTGGGAACAGCCAGCTTCTGGTGTTTGGAGCATGTCCTATAATAAATGTGGGGTGCAACTGTTGATACTACCATTAGCTTGAAGTGCTAAAAAATACCAGTGAAGCAGACTTTTGAGTGGAAAATAATCAATTTAGTTCTGGCTGTGAGTTTAGCTTTGAAGGACTTCAAGGTCCTTTGGAGAAGTATACTATAGAAAATTAGTGCATAGGGGCTTTGACGTCATTGTAATCCAGAATTTATTCAGATTGTAACACATCTGTACACATCAATTGTGTGTGCTTGTGTGTGCATGTTCATGTGTGGTTTTAGGTGACAGTGCTATGTCAGTATTCTTGTGCACCAAAGCATTATCCAGATCAAAAGCACCATAGCCACAAGGCTGTCTTCACAGCTTCACCCGTGGCCTCTCCCCTTATCAATCCCGTGCCCACATTGAGAAGAGGAATGAACTAAGCTGCTTGTTTTTATAATTTTGCAAGTTGGCATAAAGTTATCCTGCAGTGTTCCCTTTTGAGATTTTCAACAGTGTAGTTCTCTTGAAATATTATTCAAGTGATTCCATATATAAACACTTCATTTCCCTTCTATTGCAGAGTAATATTCCATGGAATGCATGTGCTACATTTTTAACCATTTAATCACTTTAAACATGTTGATTTGGGGTATTACAGACAAACATACATACTGGGAATGTCCTTTGCACTTGTTTGTGTGAGCATCGGCTTCTATTTCTTGTGATAAATGCCCAGCTGTGTAAAAGATGGGCCATGTAGCAAGTCCAGTAATATTTTTATAAGACAGTGTCAAACTGTTTTCTAGACTGACCGTACCATTTTACATTACCATCAAGACTCCAAGTGATCTACCTTGTATTCCTTTTTATTTGCTAATGTTTAAATTTGAACTATTCAACTGTAGATCATCCAGTAGATGAAGAGTAACTCTCAAAATGTTATATAGCAAACTATTTAAATGTAAAATTAATTCTGTTTTACAGTATGATTATTTAGGCTCTGATAGCACAACCATTACAAAGAAAGTCATGGCAATGATCAACCTTGTAAATTCAGTAAGTATTTTCCTTGTTTACATCAGATGTTTTAGTTTTGAAATTATCATTTTTATTTTCTTGAGCTGGTGTTTATTAATAATTCATCTATATAAATTGAGTATAAATTTATAATAATAAAATAATTTTTAGATTATTATAAAGTGACATAAAGATTGATTTCCCATATATTTATTTTTTATTACTTAGGTGTTTACACAACTTAAAGTGACTGTTGTGCTGTCATCATTGGAGTTGTGGTCAGATAAAAATAGGATTTCTACAATTGGTGAGGCAGATGAATTGTTGCAAAAGTTTATTCACTGGAAACAGTCTTATCTTACCCTAAGAGCTCATGATGTTGCATACCTATTCGTGTAAGAATAATGTTTCGGTATCCTAGAAAGAACATACAGATCTGTGATAATGATGTAGATTAATTTAGCATATATTCTTTATGGCTGTGTTTCATATTTTACTTATTATCAAGTAAGTTTCATATTTTACTTATTATCAAGTCTTATGGTCTCTTTTTTAGTGTCAGGCAATAAAAAAATTACCAATGTTTATTACTAAGCTTGTCAAACTTTTATAAATGAAAGACATTTAAATTTGAAGAGGTTAAGCCATCTCAGAATGGTTGTCTCCAATGCAGTAGATGCATCTAGGGTTTGAATTCAGTTTGTAATTTCAGAGCCTACATACTTAACACTAAATAAAGATGAGTTTTATCTAATGAACTTTATATTTTGATTTTAAGTTTAATCAAGTTTGATAACTTTACTTACAGTATTTTATCCTCATAAATTTTCAGCATTACTTTTAAATGTTAGTTTTATAAGGACAAATTATTGTTTTATATTTCTAATCACGTTCCTATTAGATTTGTTACTGATAATAAGCCAAGATTTTTAAACATACCTAATGTATTCTCTCTGTATATATCTGTGGTAGTTACTTTTCTGTTGTTGCTGAGACAAAATACCTGATGCCTAAAATTAAGAAAGAAAGGTTTATTTAGCTCACAGTTTACACAGGTTTCAGTCCCTAATCAGTTGGTTGCAAAGCAGGGTGGATGGTTGAAGGGCGGCAGTTCTGGTGGTAGAAGACAGCAAAAGTAACAAGAGTAAAAGGGGGAACAAAGCTGTTTTGCTCCCTTACACTGTACACAGGCTAGCCACCCTGGGCACTTACAGCATCCCTGTCAAAACAGGGAGAGACCCTTTAACCACACCCAAAATGCAAGAGTAAAAAAGGAAAAGCTAGAAATGTGGACACATAGAAAATGTAAAAACATCCTCTTGCACTGGCTGAGGTTGTTTACCAAGCGAGGACCCTGGCCTCCTGCTGAGTTACTTCCTTAAACTTCTCAAGTTGACACAATGAAGCGAACATTGCAACCTTCTAGTGGATAAACAGCCTCCTGGAGCATGTCCTCAACACACAGAATGTATAACTGCTGAGTCAGTTAGTTAAGCTTCTAAACTTCTAAAGTGGGCACATTGTATCAATAATTACAATATATGTGTATGTTAAAGGTGGCAGGTGATATTTGCCTTTGCATGTGAGAAATTAATCTTTTCTTAGCATATCAGCCACTGTTACTCTTCATTTTTGGCAGTCCGATGGGCCTAAATTAATGTCATTAACATTTTGATTTACTTTTTTCTGATGACTAGTGGATTTACACATCTTTTAATGTGCTTTTGGTCATTTGCATCTGTTATTCTGTATTGCCCTTTTATGGCATTTGACTTTCTGCTTTTAATTTGTAAGTATGTACTGAATCTTTAGATTTTGTTTAGCCATATGAGAAATTATTTTTCTACACCTATAGATTTTTTGTCTTGCTACGTGAAAACATTTTTACATTTTCTGTGTCTACATTTCTAGAGTTTCCTTTTTTACTCTTGCATTTTGTGTGTGGTTAAAGGGTCTCTCCCTGTTTTAACAGAGATGATGTAGGTGCCCAGGGTGACTAGCCTGTGTACAATGTAAGGGAGGAAATTTTATTTGTTTTATATTTTAGTTTGCTAATTTTTAATTTTTAATAAAATTCATCTTTATAGTACGTTTTAATACAGTATTCAGGTATTAATTTTTTATATATAAGATGGATGTAGTTATCTTTTTTGATATGTAGAGCGCCACTTTTCCCACAAGTATCATAAGCACATGTGTAAAACATTTGTCTGCACCCATAAACAACCTGTTAAAGTTATTACAGGTCTTAAAGTGAACCTGCGTGACAGTTTGGAAGAACTAAATTATTTACAGTGTTGAATATTCTATGTGTGCATATTATGTTATATTGCAATGAATAATTATGGTAAATTCCTGAATCGTTGAAAAAAATTCTCTAGGTTTCTTGCAGTTTTCTGCAGAGATCATATACATAATATTGATATTTATTTCTAGGTTGAGATATGTGTTACTGCAAAAAGTATCTTAATGTTCTAATATACGTTTGAAGATACACAACCATGCAACTAATTTTCATGACTACTAAGTGCAGTTTTTCAATTAATAGACTTCTCAGAGCCGTTTTAGTTTGCAAGTGAATAAACAGAAGGCAGGAAGAGGTTCTGCACATTGTCTCTCCCCAGTCCCTGCAATTTCACATCATTGTTAACACTGTGTTGCATAAATATATTCTAAAATTATAGTAAATTATATGTTGAAATTGTCTTATTTTCCAGGCATGTGCATATTATTTGAAAACTATGATAGTTTTATTTCTTTGTATCTAATGCTTAGGCTATTCTTTGCCTTAGTTGTTTTGCTAAGAATGCTAAAATTATGGTAGACCCAGATTGTGGTCACCAGTGTCTTTTTGTCATTCTTGACCCAAAACTTAAGAATGATACATGTGATGCAGCTGGTATAAGTCATTAATCAAATCTAGGCATTGTTTTTCTTTGTACTTTTTCTGTTGTAAAAGATTTTTAAAATCATGAATAAATATGGGTGTAGCACTCACAAAATCTCCTTGTCCTCCTTTGCTAAAGATGAGGATATTTACCAAGTAAGAACTCACTCGGGCTACCTGCTGAGTCTCTGGGTTAAACTTCTAAACTGCTCAAGCTGCCCCAGTGTCTCAGCCATAACACATAGTAAATGTATTTCTCATGGGGAATTTTATGTGCGGTAAAGTGGCTTGATGCTTTCTTACACCCTCTGGATCTTCTCACCTTGACTTCTCCAGGGGTCATCCCTAGACCCCCTTAACATCTCCAAAAATCTGTCTGTTTCCTATCACCTATCTTTTATTTTGATCTTTAAATTATTTCTATTTTGGATTTTTCACATGAGAGAAAGCATATTATACTTGACCTGTGTCTGATTTATTTCAGTTACTGTTATTGACTCAAGATGTATCCATTTGCCTACAAGTGACTCTGAGGTGTAGGGAGTAGGTAGCGATTTTTTTTTTTTTCACATTCTGTAGGTTTTCACTTTATTGTTTTCTGCACTGAGCAGTAGCTTTTAGATACAATTCTAGTTGTTGAGTTTTTGATGTTAATTCTGCGCCATTGGGGTTCTGGTCAGAACATATTTACATATGGTTATGTCTGCATGAGCTTTTCCTATTTTACCTTCCATCAGACTCAGATTTCAGCGGTATCTTTGCAGGATCTTGAAGGAACACTGTGCTCAGAGCAGCCTGGAGTTGGGGTGGGCCGTGTGGTTAGGCAGCTTTCTAGTTCTGTCCAAGACCCTCTCTGGAGAGTGTGCCTCGGACTTTCTAGGCTAAAGGCAGATGCGCTTGCCCCACCCCATGGTCCTTGGAGACCTGGATACACTGCTTTCCTAAACCGAGCATGGCTGGTTAGAGACCCCACGCTGCTCAACAGATTGTCTAAGAGGTTGGGATGACCATCCTGCTGCTTCTAGGAAGCCAGGCATGTGTAGTCAGATGACATATACAGCCAGAGCTGCAGGTGAGCTGGGCTCTTCTCCTGGGGAACATCTGCTGTGTGGATTCCCTGGCAGCTATTCAAAATGGGCTCAGAGCCTGTCGACCTGTCCAGTAGCAACTGCTGCTGTATCTCTCACCATTCCTGGAGACAGCTAGGGGACCTTCTTACCTTTTTTCTGGTGAGCAAGGCCTGTCTTGGTTCAAAACTGCTCTTCACTGTCAAGATAAGAGGATAGATGCTTTGCACTTGGCTTGTTTTTTAAAGCAGGTGTTTCTGTCTCCGTGCTCTGTTGCACCACCACTGTAGCCCAGGGTGGTGCCTCAAGCCCTGGCACAGAGCAGCCGCTGTGTTTTGCGTGTGCTGCTGTTGCATGCGGTGAAGAGCGCCAGGACCTCCAGTCAGTTGCCTGCGAATCCTACAGTAGGACAATGGGGTTGTGCATAAGTAATGTGAGATAATTATGTTTCTGGAGGAGAGGCAGAGGAAAGGGACAGGAGTATGTTACAGGATGGTCAAATTAGATGCTGGGCAGAAGCAGTTGGGCCTATTTAATAGTATGAAGAGAAAGGAGGGCAAGTATTCCAATTTATGGGAAAAATGTACTTAGAATCAGGAAACAATGTTTTCATTCTTTTCAGTTTCACTTATAGTCAGACATGGGGCGGAACCTTTGAGGGAAAAGGAAACCATAAGTGAATAAGTAAACAGCAGACCTGGACAGCTAATTTGAGTGCAGTAGGCACGTAAGAGCTATGATTGTTGCTGTCAGAAGTATGTGTAGCTTTAGCAGATTTGTAAAGAGAGACAGTTGTTAAAACATTTGTTGCAGGACTGACTTTGGAGAAAGAGTGTAAAATATATTTAGACACTGAAACAGCATTTGATGTCAGATTCTGTTATATACTGTTAGTAAACTGTTAGAAGCAAATGGAATGTGAGGGAGGTGTGCATAGATTTAAATAGTAATAGAGTCAGAGTAAAGGCAGATGTGGGACAGACAGGCCTTGTGAAGTGGAGCACGAGGAGCACGTGACAGACTCAGCTGCAGCCTTGGACGCATCTGGGACCTGTGCGTGGGCAGGGCTGCAAGGGTGCGTGCTGTCTGGGGGTGTCGCAGGCTCAGTGTTTCAGACCAGCTTCACACCCTGCAGTAACTTTCATGAATCCTCCACCTCTAGAGAGAGACCTGTATTTTCCAGCTGATGTTTGATTTATTTACTATAGAAACTTACTATTTATTTTAGTAGTTTGTATAAAGCTCTGAGTATAGTGTTACTAGATGTGGACTTATGTAGGCTCTTAAAGCTGCATATTAATATTTTATAATAGTTATTCCTATGAGAAACTGTTGAGTTTTTCTACATGAAGGTGGCACATTCTTATCCATGCATTAAAACTTCGTTGGTATCTTTCAAGAGCATGTTTTTGATCAAAATGTTTGAACAAAGCCTTTGACAAGGTTAACCAGATGTAATGAGATACTTAGATACTCAAATACTTAGCTCAGTTGAATATGTTTAAAAATGAAGAGTATTCAATATACTTTAGTTAAGAATATCTTCTAAATTTGAAATAATTAAGGACAAATTGAAAGATTATGCCTCAGTACACTTAAGTTTAACATGTTATGAGCCAAAGACTTAAATTAGCAGAAATTCTCACATTTAGATGGTTCATTAAAATTAATTCTAAATGTGTGTTTATTTATTTAGTTACAGAGAGCATCCAGATTATGTGGGAATGACATTTCCTGGAAAGATGTGTACTAACAATTATTCTGTAGGAGTTGTACTGGTATGTAATTACTTAATCTCTTTTTAAAGACATTAATGCCTTCAAAAATTACTTGAGTTAGCATGTATTTTATGCTGTTTGCTTTTAGAAATTGCATTTAGTTTCCATTACCATTTAAATTTTGTAGTATGTGAAAGGAATAATATTTTATAGAAGTGTCATATGCAGTCAGCTATATTTGGAAGTTAAAATGAGAGTAAAAATATAAATACACATGCATTCCTCAATATATAGAATAGTATATCGTGAAAAATTATTTTTTCTAATTTTATGGAAAAAAGGTAAAACAAAACGTAACAAAGTAATAAGAAATAGCAGTAGTCCATACATTCATATTATCTTTAAAGTGGTTACTCAGGGTTTAAGATATGGACATAACATTGTTTCCTGTCAGTCTTAGCACAAACTTTCACTTTGAGTGAATGGCACTAACAGTATAATGGACTTGCATTTTCCCCTTTCCCCAGCTTTCTTTTCCCCTTTCACTCATCTAGTCTCTTTTTCCTTTTGAACAATGTCTCCCCATTTCACAATATCTATATTTACTCTTTCAGTTTTTCACACTCGGGAGACAATATGTTGTTTACACATGTGAGTTTGATTTATTTAACTTATCAGTATGGACTCAGATTACATCCATTTACCTATAGAGGTCTCAAGTTTATCTTTTTAATGGCTGAGTAGTACTCCATTGTATAACAGTACCACATCTTTGTTATCCAAAGATGGGTAACATCTTTTTTTTTTTTTAATTTATAGAGAAAAAGAAAAAACAGAAAAAGAGTACAAGTAATACAAAATTTAAAAAATAAACAGTAAGAAATCACTAGTTAATAGATTACATATTCTCATCTTAGAAATAGTTGTTCAAGTTACAAAATTGAAGCATGTATAGTGGACTTTCAAACAGTGAGACTGCAAACAGTTTTGTTCAATGATCCAAAAAACACTCAGTAATATGGTTATCTATCTTATACACGTAAACATATATGCAGTTATAACCTTTAGAGCACTTTCTTGATGGATAACATCTTGGTTGATGGCCATTTTGGTTGTTTCCAAGATTCGCCTACTACAGATTGTGCTGCTATTAACATGTGCTGCTAAAAACATCTTTGTGATACGATGTTTTTAATTTTTCTGGGAAGATACTTAGAAAGGAAATAGCTGTGTGAAATGGGACCTCTAATCCGAGTATTTATAGAAATCTTCATGCTGATTTCACAGTGGTTGCACCAGTCTACACTACCACCGACAGGGGAGAAGGGTTTCTTTTTCCCCCTTACCCCCTCCAGCATTTGTTATTGGTTGATTTCTTGATAATAGCCATTCATTCTGGAGTGAGAAGGAATCTCAGTGTTGTTTTAATTTGTATTTGTCAGATGACTAGTGATGTTGAGCATATTTTCATACATTTATTTTCCATTTGTATTTCTTTGTCTAGGAAGTGTGTATTCATCTCAGATGCCCATTTTTGGATAGGGTCTTTGATTTGGGGAGGGATCTGATTTTTTTAAATATTTGTATGTTCTAGATATAAGTTCTTTTTCTGAGGGACATTTGGATAAAATTTTTTCCCACTCTGTGAGTTGTCTCTTCATTCTGTTTGTGATTTATTTTTCTTTGAAAAAGCTTTTTCAAGATGAGATACTAATTGTTGATTCTTTGAAGTACTTGTGCAGTCTGGGTTTTGTTCACGAAGTTTCTGCCTATACTGATGTCTTAAAGATTTCTACCTACTTTCTCTTCCAGTGGATTTAATGTTTCTGTTTTAATATCTAGATCTTTGATCCATTTTGACTTTAATTTAGTGCCTCATGATAGACTGGGTCTAACTTTAATCTTCAGCATGTAGTGAGTCAGTTTTTCCCACACCATTTACTGGAGAGGATGTCTTTCTTCCAGTGAACATGATTGCCTCCTTTGTCAAAGATAAGGCGGCTGAGTGTGTTTGCAGTTGTGTCTGCATCTTACAATCTGTTCCACTCGTCCTCAGATCTGTTTTTTTGCCAGCACCACTTCCACTACTCCTCTCTAATATAGTTCTGGAAACACTAGCCAAAGCAGTTAGACAAACAGAAAATAAAAGGAATAATGAAAGGAATGGAAGAAGTTAAAATATCATTATTTTTAGGTGACTTGATACTCTACATAGAAGGGCCCAGAAACTGCACCAAAAGATTTCTAAATTTAATAATCAAATTTAGTAGCTTAGCTGGATACAAAAATCAGCACTCAGACATCAATAGCATTCCTGGACACAAATGAAATATTCACTGAGAAACAAATTAGGGAAATCACATCTTTTGTAGTAGTATCCAAAAAATGAAATATTTCAAAATCACTCTAACAAAGGAAGTAAAGGATCTATATATTGAAAATTACAGTACTCTGAAAAAGGGGATTGAAAAGGATATCTTCCCTTGCTCTTGGATAGGAAGAACCAACATAGTGAAAATGATCCTTCTCCCAAAACTATTATATAGATCTAATGCAATCCTGATCAGAATACCATTAGCATACCTTACAGAACTAGAGAAAATATTTCTAAAATTCATCTTAATCCAGAAGAGACCTAGAATAGCAAAGGTAATCCTAGGCAGCAAAGGCAAGTGCAGGGGGCATCACCATCCCTGATTTGAAATTATACTATAAAGCTACTGTGATAAAATCAGTGTGGTACTGGAAAAAATACTTTTAAGAAAATTTCTACAAGTAAAATAATATCTTGCTTGTAGGTATAAAGCTATCAAAACATTGTTACAGGTAAAATAGCTGCAGTATAAAAATAATGAAAAATCCTTTATACTATTTCAAACTTCTTAAACATAGTGATTTAAGAACACTTTTTCCCTTTCTTTTTGTTGCTAGAGACAGAATCTTGCTGTGTAATTTAGGCGGGTCTCGAACTCACTGTGTGGCTCAGGCTGCCCTTGAACTCCTAGCGCTCTTCCTGTCCGGCCTCTTCGGTGCTGGAATTACAGGCGTGCATCACCATCCCTGGTTTAAGGGGCCTGATGACATTATTTATATCTTTGCTTTTTAAATTAATACATGTTAACATTGTATGATGTATACAAGATAAATAACTATACTACCAATCTTTGTTCATCACAAACAGGTTTTTTTTCATGGCTGTGTCTTGTAATCTAAACAACTGTTTTGAAGATAGCAATATGCAATCTATTAACCAGTGTTAATCTGTTTTTTGTTTTGAAATTCTATATCATCATTTTTATTTTTTATTTTAAAATAAATTAAAAAAATAAAAATATTATGAAAGGATAGCATGGAAATCGAGGTGTGTATAAAGGAGTTTGAATTAGTGAAGAAAGAAAAAAAGTTGAAAAGTTAAGAACAGTGACATGTACAATAAATTGGAGGTGCTTGTGTTTATGTTCATGTTGGAACTGAGGTGCTGGGGGCAACCAGAAAAAAAAACAAACAAACAGGTGATCAGGCTGTGATACGCGATCTCAGAGATGATGGAGGACTGACAGTTAGTGGTCAGAGGTCTGCTGGCCTGTCCTGGAGTAAAGATTTAGAAATGAGTGACTGAAGCAGGGTTTGGAGTAAAGTCAGGAAGAGACGAAGAGTGAGACAACACAAAGGAGGTATGTTTACATTTCTGTAAAACCATGAGAAGTTTGGAGAATAATGAAGTAGAGGGACATGTTATACAAAATATCAAAACTGATAAAGCTTTCTCTGTCTTTATAATAAAAATACACAGATAGATAAATAGAACAGTGGTGCAGAACAGAGTTCACAAATAGAAAATTGTGTACGCATGTGGTGTTTTTCTTTTCTATTTCTTTTAACAGTGAATTTGTGGTACACTCTTTAATAGATGGTCTTTTTGACAAATGAAATTTTCCTGTGACCTGAAGCTATTCAAAAAGTGATACTTAGGTAACCCACATTAAACTTAGGAAATTCTGCTTATAAAAAAAATGAGAAAGTGAAAAGATGAACCAAACAGTAAAAAAATATTTGCAGTGCATGACTGAAGATGACTAAAGGTCAAGTACACGATGTGCTGCTATGAATCAATAAAAAGGAAGAAAGGCTGTCACAATAGAAACATGGACAAGATGCTTAAAGAAACGTTTCACAGAAAGGTGTAGCCAGTTTGCAGAAAAACGAGTACAGCCTGAAACCACAGTAATAAGTGAAATAAATCCAACCCTCAAATTTAAATACATCACATGATCGCTCTTATCCGAGAAGCTCAAAATATAAGTAAATTACAGAGAAAAGTACAAGGGAGGGAGTTACCAAGAAATCTTCTTGAGTCCTTGGCCAGCCAGCCCACCTTTTTGACTGTCCATGAATCGGTACCTCAAGCTATCTCTGCTTTTAAGTAACGTGAACAGCAGAGGTATTGCTGGAACTTACGCTGGTTTTTTTTTCCTTTTTGGTATGGGTGACTCATTATATCACTCAGTCTGGCCTCAGACTCGCAGTGTTTTACCTTAGCCTTCCAAGTAACTGACATGCACGACCGTGTCTGACTTCTACCGTCTCAGCTGAATGAGGCTAAAGCAGCCACTTCTGCCACTGCTAGTGTGTGTTGCTGGCCCACTTGTAGACTGACCCACCTCTTTACCATGGAATTCAATTCAGTGCACAAAGAGAAACTGATTGTGGGAGAGACAGCGAAAGGTACATTATTCCCTGGGAGTTTGAGGCCCTGTCGTGTGGAGTTGGTCTTCTGTTCCTAAACCTTTCTGTAGAGTATTGCTGTGAGCATGCAGTTTCGTGTTATGTGGATCAGATAACATCTACCTCAGGGTGAGACATTCTGATAAAAGTGATATAGTGTCTCATAGTTAAGCTTTTAACCTTTACTGGACCAAGTGTCAAGACATGAGTCTTTTTATAGACTACCTGGCACGTTATTCAGGAAGTGTGTCCACATGGCATATGTTGCCTCTAATATCCAAATAAGGCCACCAAACCTGTACATCCTATTTTGTTTAGTTACCTATATAAAGTGCATAGAGTTGTGTCTGACTTCAGAAGAGATACCCTGATACGTCCCAGATCACTGCACCCCTAACACCGGACCATTCCGGAGGGTTGCTGAAGTGTTGCATTCATCTCCTTTCCAGCATGCATGACCTTTACTAAAACCTTTATGATCCTTGCTGCTTCCTGTGTACTAGGTCTAGAAAACATACTGTTACCATCTCAGTGGAGCCAACATGGTATGCTATGGGCTATAAAGACAATCAAATTTTCTCTGACTTACATTGTCATGGAAAGAAAAAAAGAATTGACATAGCCATAAGCTAAGGCATAACACTGCGATACTTACTGATCCCGTGTGACTGCTCCTTGGTTGAGGTCAAGCTACTTTTGGCTGTTTTTACTCATGATGAATTTTAAAAAGGGGGAATTACTAGACTAGTTGCTGCCTACCTGTTGCTGGAGGTTATGTTGATTTATCCAATGAGATTGCCATATTGGAAATCTCCAAAGTGATTACCATCACCACAAGATTAAGTTTGCAGCAATTTTTAAGTCACTCTTCATCTTTAACTTAGCTTTTATACTAGACTAACATGTGTGTTAAATGATGCTGTTATGCAGAGTGTTAATCTTACGGTTGCAGACTTTAGTGGTGGCGGTAGGCTATGTAGTGCTCAGGGATGCTATATTACTTTTGATTCAGCAATTTGGGAGCAGTTACTGGGACTCTGTATGGCCCTCAACAGCATAACTCTTGCTCCACTTGTTAGGAGCCCAATGTGAGGATTTTGCTAGTATTTACATTTGCTAATACATACATTTTCAGAATTTGGATAATAATAATAGTGTGGATTTGCAATTTGTTTGGATTTACTGTTAAGATGATCTTGAAACAAGATCCTTTAGATGACATGGACTCAATAGGTTTGAATTTTTGCAAGTTGACTGCAAATATTTATTATCATAACTGATTTAGAAACATAATGAAAGTTATGGTCCATTTGGCTATTAGATTATGGTCTGATAAGAATTTCTTCATCAAATTAGCCCTTTTACTCTTTATATAGTTATGGTTTTATCTAGATGTTCAATTTTAAATTATTCAGAAGTCTGATGCTGACTTAAATCAGTAAAATGCTATATGTAGAACTTCAGCTTCTCACTTGCTCAAAGAATCATATCTCTCTATCTTTGGTTAAAAATAAAAATATTAATAATTTGTAGAAGTATTATTTTTACTATCATTCAATGAAATGACTTTCTTTTGAATTTCCCTTGATACCATTATAGTATTCCAAGGAAATGACTTTGGAGGCGTTTTCCGTTATTGTAATACAGATGCTGGGCCTCAGTCTGGGAATAGCATATGATGATCCAGTAAAATGTCGGTGTTCAGAAGCCACCTGTGTAATGACTCCAAAAGCCATGTAAGTTTTTTAAATGATTTATTTATTGGTTATATTTATTTTGCTTACAATGTAGTTTTATAGATGTAAGTGCATCAAGTTAGCTACTAAATATACATATCATTTTAAATTGTAAGAGTAGTATATACTATGATAGACTGTTAAAGTCAAGCAATAAAACATATTAAATTTATAACATACATTACCAAAAGAATTTTCCTTGAGGTTTATGTTATTAAAGCACTTGCTATCTTTAAAAATATAGTACAGGTCATAACAAGTGGTATTTTTGTGAATAGTAAGACTTTTTGGTTTTGGTTTTAGATTATTTTGATGCAGGAAATTGACTTCCAAAGGACATTAGGTCTTAGTTGGAGAACAGTTTCAAACATAAAATATCTGTGTAACTTTGCACAAATAAATTGATGTTGGTTAGACTTATTTATCTCATCTTTAAATGTCGAATATTGTCTAATGCTTCTTCACCATGTATTGAGATGACTTCATGCTTTTAATGTTTGATTCCATTTCTGTAGTTTGTTTATTGATTTGCACATTTGAATCATCTTTGCTTCCCTGGATTAAAACTAACTTGATCATAGTATGTGATCTTTATAATGCATTGCCAAATTCAATTTGCAAGTATTTTGTTAAGGGTTCTTGTATTCATGTTCATCGAGAATATTGGTCTATAGTTTTTTCTTGTCTGTTTTTTCTATTAAGCTGATGGTGGACTCTGTCTTGGTTACTTTTCTCTCTTTGTTGAGACAAAAATACCTGACACCCAAAATTAGGGAAGGAAAAATTTACTTACCTTACAGTTTTGGAGGTTTCAGTCCACATTCAGCTGGCTCCAAGGCAGGGTAGATGGCACAGGGGAAGCCATTCATGGCAACTGCGAGAGACAAGGGCAGGAAAAACGGGCAAAAGGGGAAGCATGCCTCCCTCCCTCCCGCATACTGTGTGTTGCCTGCGCGCTGGCACCTGCAGCACTCACCACCCATCCCAGCGCTAGACAAGGAGCTAATCACGAACACTGGATTCAGCCACCTCCATGACTGCATGAGGTTTGGACTGGAGACCCAGACCCGTACTATAACAGACTCCTAGAGCGAATCTGAAAGCATTCTTTCCTTTTCTATTTACAGAATACTTTAAGACACAATAGTGAGTTAGTTCTTTAAAGGTTTGGTAACATGTGCCAGAGAACCAGGCTGTCTCTCAGCTTTTCTTTGTCAGGAGACATTTTATGATTACCTTTATAATTGCGTATTATTGATCTGTATAGGTTTTTAAACATTCTTTTCAATTTTGGTAGATAATATGTCTAGAAATAGTCCAGTCTTTTCTAGATTCTCTGATTTATTAGACTATAGGTTTTCAAATTAGTCCATAGTGACCCTCTTTCTGGTGCTGATTTTAGTATCTTCCTGTTAATCTCCAGTTGTATTAATTGGGGTCTTCTCTCTCATCCTTTCAGTCAGTTTGTCTAATGTATTATCAGTCTTGCATTTATTAGGGTTGGCATTTCAAAGAATTAGCTTTCTTTCATTGAGACTGCATGTAATTATTGTAGTCTATTTCATTAATTTCAGCTCTTTATTATTTCTTTCCTTCTGTTGGGTTTGATTAGTTCTTGTTTTCTTACCCTTGAAAGGCACTGTTCAGTTATCTGCTTGATCTCTCTCTCGTTTTTTGATGCATCTCCCTGTAGCTGTCTTTGCCACATATCCTGGAGATAGTGGTATGTCCTATTTGTATTTTCATTTCACTGCAGGATTTTTAAAATATCTCTCCTAAGTTTTTTCAATTAAAAGTAAATTTGATTATTTAAAAGTAAATTATTTTTATAGTTTATATATTTTCTCATATTTTTGATTTCTAGTTCATTCTACTGTGACCTGAGGCGATGTAAGAGACTATGTCTGTTTTGTATCTGTTAAGGTTTGCTTTATGGTCTAGACTCCAATCTATTTTCAAGAATGTTTTATGAGCAGCTAAGAAGAGAGCATGTTTTGCAGTTTTTGAATGGAATGTTCTGTAAATATCTGTTAGTTTCATTTGATATATGGGATGGTTTAACTCTGGTACTTTGATATTTAAATATGGATGACTTATATTGAGAGCAGAGTCTGCTATAATTAGGTGTTTTGTTTTGTTTTGTAGCAGGGATTAAACTCATGACCTCATGCCTGCCAGGCAGGAACTTATGCCACTGAGCTAAATCCCTGGCCTGGGGTCTGCTATTATTGTATTGGCATCTGCATGTTCCTTAATGTTAAGTAATGTTTGTTTTAAGGCTTTGAAGACACTAATAGGTACTATATATTTACTTGTGATTGTTATATCTTCTGGGTGGACTGTTCCCTTTACCAGTATGTGGTATCTTTCTTGGTTTCTTCTAGTTTTTCCTTCAGGGTTGCTTTGTCAGAAATGAGTATAGCTATTCGTGCTTGCTATCAGATTCTGTTACATGGAATATAATTTTCTGCTTTTCACTTTCAATCTGTGAATATATTTGCTAGTGAAATATATTTCTTGCAAGCAGCAAAGAATTTGGTCTAGTTTGCTTCCCAGTCTGTCTTTTCATTGGAAGAGTAAGGCCATTTACATTCAAAGTTACTATGCAAAGACATACCCAGTTCTCATTTTTTACTGCTTAATTCTTTCTTAATTCTCATTACCTTCTCTTTCTCTTCTGTATGTAGGGTTGCTTTACGTATCTTTTCAATACTGGGTTAGTAGTCACGAGTTTCTTTAGTTTATGCTTTTTTTTTTTTTTTTTTTTTTTTTTTATTTAAGAGGAAAAAGAGAAAAACACAAAACAAACCAAAGCGGCGTAAGGGTACACGCAATACAGAACTACAAAACAAAACAAATCAAAACAAAACAAAAAACCATAACAGTAAGAAATTACCTGCTAGTAGATTACACACTATTTTCTTGAAAATAGTTCCTCAAATCACAGTATCAAAGAACACAAGGTGGACATTCAAACAGGGAGACTGCAAACAGCTGTGTTCAATGTTCCAAAAACATTGATAAAGTCAGCTATTTAACACCCCCAAACACACTTGCTGTTATATCCGTTAGAGCTCCTTTTCTTTTTTTTTTTTTCCCCTCTCTTTTTTACAACAAAATTTACACATCTTGGATTTTATTACTCCTTAGTGCTTATTACTTTCTTTGGGGGGGGGGAAGAATACAGTCAAATATGGCAAAACAAAGCTGTCAGTCAATACCAAGGATAGACATAGCACATGGTGTAGAACAGAGTACAAGTTTATCATCAATGGTTATCAACGTTGTCCCTTGTTTCCTTAAAAAGAATTGTCTATCTTATTAGATATTATAAAGTTGGACAAAACAGTAGAGAACAAGACCAATAAAACTTAGGCGTTGTAAATATTACAGGACTTCCAAAGAAGACAATAGTCAAACCAGAATGGGTATCTTAGTGAATCTTATTGTCTTCAAAGTAGTTGCCTATGTCTTCAAACTTGATACTATCATATAGAATGGAACAGAGTCTAATCAGTCAAAACAAGATCGTGGGAGTACTACAGGACTTCAAAACAAGTTAATAGGAAATCGAAAAGAGTTACTATTTATATATCCTAATTTTTTTGAATTTTTTCTTTAATTAAGACAAACATAAGAAATGACTAAATAATTTTTTTTTGAAACAATAAGGGGTAGATTGAGATAAAACAGGACATAACAATATAACAATAGAGGTCACAGCATGACTGTTTCAATAACCTAGTACTTCACCACCTTATAACCTGACTTAATAGTAGTTACCATAGTGTCTTTTTCCTTGAAATATTTGGGTAAAACTTCATATACTCTAGCTTCAAATATTTTCATATCAAGAAGCCCAGAATAAAGCCTTTCTAATTAATGAGTGAAAACTTTATAAGGCTTCAAGGCCACCTAATGGGGAATCATGATTACCACATATTTTTATATATTTGAATCATTACTTACATTAGGGAAACTATTCGGTATTCACACATGCGAGATTGATTTATTTCACTTATGAGTATGGTCTCAAGCTGTGCCCATTTATTGATAAATATCTCAATGTGATCCTTCTTTATAGCTGAATAATACTCCATTGTATAGAAATACCACAACTTTTTTATCCATTCCTCAGTTGATGGACACTTGGGTTGTTTCCAAGATCTGGCGATTACAAATTGTGCTGCTATAAACATAGGTGCACATATATCACTGTGGTATGATGCTTTCAGTTCTTCTGGGAATATGCCTAGAAGTGGAATAGCTGGAATAAATGGGATTTCCAGTGCCAACTTTTTGAGAAATCTCCAGACAGATCTCCACAAAGGCTGTACCAGTCTACACTCCCACCAGCAGTGCAGGAGAGTTCCTTTTTCCCCACAGCCTCTCCAGCATTTGTTGTCGGTTTTCTTGATCCTGGCCATTCTTTCAGGAGTGAGATGGTATCTCAGTGTGGTTTTAATTTGCATTTCTCTAATGACCAATGATGATGAGCATTTTTTCATGTATTTATTTGCCATTTGCATTTCTTCATCTGAGAATTGCATATTCATCTCAGATGCCCATTTTTGGATTGGATCTTTGAATTTCGGAGGTCTGAGTTTCTTTAATTCTTTATATGTTTTAGACAAGAGGCCCTTGTCTGAGAGAGAGTTCACTAAAATCTTTTCCCAGTTTGTGGGTTTTCTTTTCACTAAGCTGGAGATTTCTTTTGACATGCAGAAACTTTTTAATAAGAAGTGGTCCCAGTTATTGATTCTGGGAAGTATTTCCCATGCGGTTTGAGTCCTGTTCATGAATTCTTTACCTACTCCTATGTCTCCAAGGTTTCTACCTATTTTGTCTTCCAATAGATTTAGTGTTTCTGTTTTAATATTCAGATCTTTGACCCATTTACATTTTAATTTAGTACATGGTGATAGACATGGGTCTAGCTTTAGTTTTCGGCAAATGGAGAGCCAGTTTTTCCAGCACCATTTATTAAAGAGACTGTCGTT